GTAATTTCTTGCTTTTTTTCTTCTTTTTTTCTTCCAGGTTTGATTGCCGACTAGAGCAGTGGTGCAGGTGAAAAAAACCCCAACTTATAACCCCGATTCTCTCTTTGGTCATCATCCGGCAGAAAAAACGGAGGCCGTGGGGCTGGAGTGTGTTCTTATGGCCGAGTCAGAGACTGAGTGTGACACTCCAGGGCTCGACACACTTGGGTCGGAGTGTGTCATAGCCCATAGCCATGTCGACCTTCACTACGCAGCAGAAACGGAGATCATTACAGAGGAGAAGCGTGGATTGGAGCTGGGGATCCATGGCTCAGACCTAAAGATACAGGGACTCGGGGGAGACCTTGGGGCTGTCACGTGTGTGGATGCAATCGTTGCAGAGACAGACCATGACTATATCAAGGTAGAGAATGCTGACATACACTGTTTCACGGCAGCAGAAATTAAGACGGAAACCGGGGAAACTTTGCTGGGTGAGGTGCTTCTTAAGACGGATGGCGAGCATGTGGTTAAAATGGAGTCGGATCACGGTGGGGAGTTGACAGTGGAGTCGGAGAATGGAGTGATCATACATGAAGCTCATGGCTTACAGTGCAACGAGTGTGGGGAGATTTTTGGCAGCATAGCTGATCTTCACCAACATTTTGAGATCCACAAGGACCTCAACCCGTATATCTGCATCCACTGCGGGGAGAGTTTTGCTGTAGAGGCCAGCCTCAAGCAACACATGAAAATCCACATGAAAGAAAAACCATATGTTCCCCCAGGCGTTGACCTCATCGGTAAAGATGTGATCGACGCCTACAGCCTTAAGTCTCATCAGATGATTCATTTGCCAGACAAGCCCCACAGATGCACAGAGTGTGGCAAGAGCTTTGCAGCTGCCATAACACTGAGAGAACACATGAAGATGCATTCTGAGGACAAACCATACAAGTGCACACAATGCAGAAAGAGCTTTGTCCGTAGGAGGCATTTAAAAAAGCACCAGGAGGTCCATGCACGTGAAAAACCATACACCTGTGGCCAGTGTGGCAAAGGCTTTGCTACGACTTCCAATCTGAAGCAGCACCAAAAGACCCACGCTGTTGTCGTGCTGGGGGATAAGCCCCACCGGTGCGCGCAGTGCGGGAAGTGCTTTGCAGCCGCCGCAACTCTAAGAGAGCACCAGAGGATCCACTCTAGTGAAAAGCCGTACAAATGCAACATGTGCAGGAAGAGTTTTGTTCGCAAGCGTCACCTGAAGAAGCATCAGCAAGTTCATGCTGGGGGGAAGCCCTACACCTGCCGACATTGCAACAAGGGCTTCAACCACTCCTCATCCCTGTCTCGCCATAACAAGACCCACCTGCAGAACCCAGTGTTTTCTCCACCACAGCCCGGGAAAGCTGTCGCTTTCGTCTCGCCACCAAAGCAAAGGGTACTTCAGGAAGGGGAGAAACCCTACATGTGCCACCACTGTGACAAAGGCTTCAATCATTCCTCCTCCCTGTCACGGCACCAAAGAGTCCATTCCGATGGAAAAACGTACACCTGTGGTCACTGCGGCAAAAAGTTCAACCACGGCTCTTCCCTCGCGAGGCATCAGAGAGTTCATTTGGAGAAGCAGGCTCTTTCATCGCCGCTGCAGCAACAGCAGCAATTACAACCGCAACCACAATCACCACCAACACCGCAGCCGCAGCAATACACTGCCATCCCCGTCGGAAAGGCTTACTCCAACAACGCCTTCCCAAAGCAGCTCATCCTGTCTGTGGAAAAACCATACAGGTGCTCTCACTGCGGAAAAGGCTTTAACCATTCTTCGTCTCTCTCAAGACATCATAGGATCCACATAGATCACAGACCAGGGCCCCATCCTTAGTCAGCCCCACATTATCATGTTTCCTTTGGGTTTTGCTCCCCAAATCTTCATGTCTGCATCCCGGCACCACAGATAACGACGAACCATTTTCTCCAGTCAAAATGGTCATGTCACTGTATTGCTGCGGTTACATGGAGCAGCTCTGAATAAATTGACAATGCACATTTATCCCAAAAAAGGATGGGGAGGGCGGGGGTGCTTGACTTAAACACTCAGAACTGAACCCACGGCTGTTGTGTTTAACTTGGTATAATATATTGTGAAGGAATTTCCTGTGATTCTGCTTCACTTGCTCCAGGACTTTTAAAAGGAAATAAAAATGTTCAAGAGAAAACTTTGGATAAATATGCTTCACTTACGAATTTCATTGAGTTCCATTTAGGTTTGCACATTTGCGTTTCAGCTGCAACTTTATTGAAATTGTTAAACACAACTGAACAAGAACTTTTGCCTCCATTTGAAAATCTTTTTTTTCCCTCAGCTTTTTAACTCATGAAGCAAATATCAAAAAATCCAATGTAGATACTTATTGATTTTCTTTTTTATATATATGTGTGCGTGTATAGGTAACTAGTGTGCTGTTCCAGAAGATACAATTTTTGATAGCAGGATTCACTCTGTCTCCCACTTTTTTTTTTTTTTTTTCTGACTTTGATTTGTTTTAAGTGTTGGATATAAAAACGAAAGAAGATGCAGAATGTTTTTCCTTTAAGCTTGTGTTTTGGGTTGGGCTCCGTTAACATGAGCCATCTTGTATATTTATCAGATTGTTGTTTGTTTTTTTTTTGTTTTTTTTGTACGTCTCTGGTTTAGCACGGCTTCATGGTTTGTACAGAGAGCAATACTGGCTAACACCTGAGTCCATTCTGACAGGAACTTTACTGATGGGGAAATGCATATTAGAAAATAAAAACCCTCTGGGTAGCATACTCCAACAAGACCCGTGTCCTAATTATTTACTGTGGTTTCAACTACACTTAAGATCCAAGTGTACAGTATTGCTTTGGAAAATAAATACCTGTGTATAGAGTTATAGGTAACGCATATTCTTGTTGACCTGCAAACTTTCGTTGTTTGATCTAAAACAAAACAAAAACTGTTGTGTATACTAAAACATGAGAATCTCATTTTACAAGATTTTTCTGAAGTCCAATGGATTGCGCTCTATTTACTGTTCTGTGTAAAATATCTTTTAGAAACTGACATATTTTTTTAAGATATGGCTTGGGTTATATGAAAGGGAACGAGAGACTGGATTTTATGAGAGTTAAACATTTTGGTGAGCAATATCTTATTCGGATAAAAGTTGTGCGTCACATTGTAGCATAGTCCTTTTCCTTGTTTTAGTTAGGTGCCTTATTGCATGCAACGTAGAAATGTATGCCGAGCTGTTATTTCAGAAGTTAGGGATTTCAGGATTCTTTTTTTTTTTTTTTTAGCTCTTAATCATATTAACTTACCCTACATTTTAATTTGTCACCTTTTTATTTTGCTTTTATGTATATTGCTATGTGTTTACACTGTTACAACTATATTGTTTCCCCCCTCCCTCCCAATGATTTTTGTCAATGGCCTGGTAGAGAAAATGATGTAAAATCTCCATATAGACTAGAGGGCAAACCCTGTAACATGTTTCCCATCTGAGTGGCACATATATGGATAAAATAAAGGTTGTTGACTCTCATCTCATGGTGTTTAATTAATGCAGTCCTTAAAAGCCTTATGACAAATAAAATCAAGGGAAAAAACGTTTCCTGGCACATGTACTTACACAGTGTAACCACATGGTGTCGCCTTTTATCAGCAAAAAAGCCATTCTAGTGCAAATGAGTTAACAGCACCAATCTTGGAGGTTAATAGCAGTAGTGTCTGATTAGTTAAAACAGGTCTTGGTGGTTGCCTATAATAAGTATTTGAGGGTTTTTCCAGGTTTCTATACTTGGAAATAAACAATTTCCCTATAAAAACTGATTCTGATTCACAATCCATACTATAAATGCACATTAAGCCTTGCCAAAGTTACAGTTTAATTCAGGTCTGAGATGAAGTAGGACCATGACAGCTTTTAAAGTTAAAGCTGTATATTTAGGGGTATTACCAACTGCAAATGAACTTTCACCTTGAACTTTTTTAAAAACTTGTTTTTCTTTAGATGTCACTTTTCTGAGCCGCACCCTCATTCACCTCAACATCCTAGAGGACATATCTAGTGGATTTCCATCAATTTTTTCCCACCAAGATTTGACAGCAACAGCTATAATTTGCTGCGTTTATAGATTAACCCCTTAAAGCCATATATCTCTGCAGCTCCTCCAGAGTCAGTTGCCTGTTAGCAGCTTCTCTGATGAGTGGGGTGGTTACCAAACATTTGCTGTTCTAGATTAAACTTAACAGGGAGGCCATTGTTTTATCATGAGGGCACAGAACAGAAGAATAAAACTACAGCAACAAAGTATCGTTTATTATACAGATAGCCCCAAAGCCAAGGCTGTAGACCTGATCAAAGCTTATGATCCTATCATAGTATGGCAAAACCTTAAAGCTGACTAATTTTCTAAATACCTTTTAAGTAAATTTCAAACGTGAAATTTAAATCTAAGTGACGGATCAGCAACGGTCTCTTCTGTCAGCACATATAATTAATTGATATTACACTAAAAGCAGAGATAAATTCCATGTATTCATGTATTTGCCCTCAATTTGAGCAAGAAGATCATATGATCCGTCAATTCTAAGAGTAGGCTATTTCTGTTCTTAGAATAACATTTGATTTTAAACACCTGGAATAAGAATTTTTTTTTTTTTTTTTTTTTTTGCAACTATCTGGTCTTGGAAGTAGGCTGCAGGTCAGACTATACGCTATAACTTAAAAAACAGAATAGCACCAGTTCTATTGGGGCACAGGCCCATATAGAACCACCCATCTATTGCCTTGACCTGTCATGACATTAATAGTTTTCTTAAGATGCTCACAACGCAGACATTACACTGTTCTGTTGTCGTTCTTTTAAACATTTTTTAAAAGTACAGATGGGTGATTGTACCCTTGAAGACAAACATGAAGAAAGAAGGGCTCTCCATTTATTAAAGGGGTAATGATTGAGTTGCAGTTTAAGAGCAAAAAATCTCACAAAAACACATTTAAAGATAGTTATTTATTGCTGCCTTTTCGGAACTAAAAGCAGAAAATCTTAAAAAATTACCAACAATACTTTTAGTTTTGAAGGTTTGCAAAATTCGCAGTTAACTATCGTTAAAAGACACAATTCCTACAAGGATAAAGAAATACCTGATAATCATAAACAATGTGACAATTATCCTTCCCTATCCTAATTAACAGAGAAGTCGTTGTCTTAAAGGTCCTTATTTAAATTAGTCACTAATGCTGGTTTAACTTAATAACACCTAAAGTCTAGCAGCTTTATTAATTAAAACGTGTAAAAAAGTTCTAAATAAGGTTCATACAGACATAACTATATAATGTAATAAAACATTTTGGAGGATATATAATTTTATTTGTGAGACTCATGACATGTATAAAAGGTGGAAAATCAAGACAGGTTATTGTTTCTCTACACATTTTAAACAATCAGAGAATGAAAATAAGGCCCTTTATATTGCATAGAATGCAAACTGTATAATCAGACATACACAAGTTTGGATATATCTAAACACATTCCTCTGGAAAGTATTTACATTAGTTGTATCATACATTTTAACACAGACTGGGTTGTTATGGTTGTCAGTATGTGGAGGTAGGGAGCACATTACGCGCCCTCATCTATTCTCTTAATGCATCTCAGAGAAGTGTGGTGCATTGCTTGAACAAAGGTCCCGCTATACGTTCATGACAGGAGTGAGCTGCAGCAGTGAGCTCTGGGGTCGGATGGTGCTGCTCTTTGAGTGCAGTTTCTCCAGGTTCTGCAAGAAGCCCCTCCTTTTGAGACCTTCAAGGATAACAGTGTTGCTGGATGCAAGGCTGACGCGGGTCCTGTAAGGAGGAGAGAAGAAAAAAATCAAACACCACATTGGTAACATGACACAGAAACCATTCCCCTAGCTACACCACCAGGTGCAAAGAGAGTTCAATGCCAGGAAAGAAACTCTTTTCTTCCTCTTCAATTTCAAAATGACTTTTTAAGTGCTGCACAGCAATTACAGATAATTATTAGCAATGACTCCCTTCTGTTCAAACACTGGATGCTATAATTGGCCACAAGGTGTTTGTTCAGCTTTATTGCAATTTACCTTTAAAGTAAAACAACACATTTTAGGAGTGAGGCCAACCACAGACGTGCAACCCTGGGGTTAACGAACGTCAGTTCTGTGTTTGTGTTGGCTGAGCACCCTTCTGAAAGGCAGGTCTTGGTGTGTGGGCACATATCCGGAACGGTACGATGCCTTGCAAGTGTTTTTATCCCACTAAAGAATAGTTTTATATTAGCCATTTTTGCAGGTGATATTTCTATCAGCTTCGTCAATCTGGAAACCCAAATGTTAGGAGTTTCATCATTGCAAAATACCTCAAACTCTTCAGATTATAAGGAGATGGTCTGTAAACGTTTTACTTCCAGAATTGCTGCAGATCCTCTTCTGCAGTATGTTTGCAGCAGGATGTGTCCAAAGTGACCATCAAATTGTTACCCTGATTGAATGTTTAAGTCCGTCATCAAGTTATTTAGGTTAGGTTTTAGGTTATTTTGCTTTTTGATAGCTTTTTTTTGTATTTCAATACTGCCCTGTTCTAAGCGTTATACAACGTTAAACTGAATCCCAACAGCATGTTGGTGCGTGTTGAGGCTGATTTGCAGTGTTACTTTTTTTGCTACTTTTAAAATATAACATGTAGGCTGAGAGTAAGTCTTATTTGACAAGAAGAACTTCTTCAATGTTTGCTGTTCACAACATGGCTTGTAGCAAACCAGCATCAGGACTTCTGCTTTACTTTTAACAATGAATTTCATTTTTTCCACTGTAGATTTCATATATAGATCCCAGAGCTAAAAGTTATCCAGTCCATCTGAGCTGTGGCTCTCTGCAGCTCCTCCAGAGATACCAAATACCCCTTGGCTGCTTCTCAAATTGCATCTCTTGCTAGTCAGTTTATGGACGAAGGAGATTATATCGGATTTCTTACAGGTACCTGATTTGTATTTGTAAATAATTAAAACATGTTGAATTCACTTTCCCTAGTATATATATTACTCTGCTAAAGTCTATTGAATAAAGTTACAATAAAAGGATTTAAATTAGCAGTGGCCACATAGCAAAATGTATTAAATGGGTGTGATTATGCTGGGAAATATATTTGCTCGTTTTACAATACAGTGGCCTTCACATGATTTTCTTAGTACCGTAAGTTTCTAATATTAACACTTACATGACACACAGAAAAACATAGTTTTGGGTACTTACCGAGGGGAGTCAATACCACTGTCCCCAGTGATGCTCTGGTTCTCCATTTCCTCTGCTCTTCTGGTTCCAATGGACGTGTTTTGGATAATTTTGTGGGTCTGAGGAACACTGTTCTCATCAAATCCATCCTTTTGCACTTCCTCCACAGCCCAGTGCCCAGACTCGCCGTCTCCCTCATCAGCTGACTTTCGGACAGTCTCTGAGTCCGATTCAAGCTCGCTGGCCTGGCAGTAGTCAAAGATGCTGCTGTCTGCACCTTCACATGCTTCTAAACAGTCTGCATCCACAATAGATCCACATTCCTTTTCCCTCTGGTCAAATGGACATATAACAGCACTTTGATCGCAGAATGCTCCTGGTGACCTGGCTCTTTGGGTTTGCTGTCTCCAGTTGCTCTCTGCTTGTCTTTTGGATATAAGAGCAACTTCCCTATGGTTTGTGGGAGGATTCAGGTCTTTTAAAATGCTGCCCGTTGAGTCCTGTTTGCAGGCAGCTTTTGATTGTTGAAGCATAACTTTATAATGGGAATGTTGATGCATTGTAGATTCATGGTTATTGTAAATCCGCTGGTGGCCGTGATAGTTCATTAAACCGGTTCGGTAATTATTCGGATTGATCAACTCATCAGTGTTCAGACACAGGGAACTGCAGGTGTCTTCCTCCTCTGGTCTATCTGCTGTCTGATAGAGCCTACAGTCATCTTCAATAAAACTATCACTGTTTCCTGTTAGTGGAGACTTTTCAGGCGTCAGCTCCAGAACCTCACTGTGGTGGAAGGTTGTGGTGTCTGATTGACTCCCCTGCCTATCCTCAGCAGTCACAGAGAGCTCCTTTGGCTTTAGATGATCATCTCTTTGTTGGTCTGAGAGTCTGAGAGAATGTTTTCGCTGTAAGGAGGGCTTAGGCCACAGTAGATCTGGATCAGGTGCAGGGTTTGCAACGAGCTGATAAGGGTAGGTAGGGGTGACAGTATTCATACTGGAGTGATGCTGGATGTTGGTGACACTATCACCTTGCATTCTGTTTTGTTCTGGTATAGATTTGTACTCCAACATTTCCTGAAAAGTTTTGACTTCTTTCTCCCAAATTTCCTTACTGCTTTCTTCATCTTGGTGCCTAACCTTGTCATCTATCCTGAGCGTGCTGCCATGTAGATATGCAGAGCTATAGTCCAGACCAAGCTCTCTAATGAGCTTCTTGTCCGGCTGGAGCAGGTGTTCGACCACAAAATCCCTTTCTTGGTCGCATTCGTTTCGGTCCTCATATGAGGGGGATTTCAGGCCACTCTCCTCATCTGCTGCCATCAGTTTTGCCCGATGAGGGTCCCATGACTTAGAGCGGTGACTGTTTCGCTCCTTTCTTCCACACCCAGATGCTTTGCCCTCTTTGATCTCTCGTCTTCTGTGCTCCCTGTTTGTGGCAGTTATGTTTTCAGCATCCTTGACTGGATGGGTCTGGAAAGGATTATCAATGCGTTTCTTATAAAGAGACTTTCCCTCAGGATTCCCAGCCACCTCCAATTGATTTAGAGGGTCAGCAGGGATTTCTCCCCTGAGGCGAGTTGGAATCAAATCCTCCTCATCTGGACAAATGTCAGAGCATACAAGAGCTTTGCTCTTCACCTTCTCCTTGTCTCTTTCCCTTTGCTTTTCTCGAGATGAGTGGACCCTCCTTTTGCTGCGCATAGCTTTCTGAGACGATCTTTTCCCTCCACCTGTTTTAGACAAATGGTGATGCCTGTGTTTGGAGAAAGTTAGCATGTCGGTGGACATTCCCTTGTCAACTCCCTTGTCTTTATCGTCCAGACCTCGATCAAGAATCCTGTCCACTCCCCTTTCCCTTCTCTCCTCCAGTTTCTTCATTAGTACTGTGTGGCGTGTCAGGTTGTCCACTGTCAGTTCAGGATTGATGCGTTTGATGATGGCATGCTCCAGGTCTCGGGGCAAGTTGTTCAAGTCTTCCTCATCCCTCACGGGCCACTCCTCTGGGGGGAACTGGCCTGAAAATGATGCATACTCCTTCTTCGGCTTCTCCTTCTTACCACCGTTCCTCCTAAATAAGCTGAGACCAAACTTTCTCCCGGTTTTATCCTTCTCTTTCCGATTTGTGGCATTTGTAGTTGCAGTTGTTTTGCTGATCTCACTAGCCTGACAATCAGCAGCCGTCGATGTCGACTGATGCTGCACTGACGGTTTATGATCTGACGCCCGGGGCCACTTCAAGCTTCTTCCCGTGCATTCACTTATGGACACAGACACAGAATGCTGGTCAGGAACAGTGGATGGAGGGACAGTGGTTGTTTCAGCTGTGACAGCAGTGGTGGAGGAACTTTGGTGAGGGCTAAAACAGCTGCATGACCTGCAATGGGCTACAGGGACTGTTTGAGTGCTCTCCACACAGACTTCGTTGCTTAGAAGGTAAGTAACAGGAGGGGCCAATGGAGGGTCATCCGTTGAACCCGATGTCCACCAGTTTTTCTCTCTGACCATGTTGTTGGTGATGAAGTAGGTCTGAGGCGTAACGATGAAATAGCCTTCACCTGTGTGGTAAATCTTGCGCTCCTTAATCAAAGTTCCAAGGGCGTTGTGCAGAATGTCCTGAGTGGGAATGGTTATCCCTGATACAGAAATACAGAAAAGCATGAGAGACAATAAATAGCAAAGAGGATGCATTTATCTAGCCATTGGAGACTAGTGAGGTGCATTATAGCGTATAGGTGTTGTTTAAGTAATTCTAAAGGAAAACACATAGACAGGATACCTTTCCCCTTTCCATCCTTTGTCCTACAAAAATAGTCATACCCAATAAACTCTAACTATTTAACAACTTTAAACATAAATGGTGTATTCAATATTTAAAAAAAGACCATGTGACAGGCTCGGCTCGGTATTCCTGCACTTTTTTCCCTACACTTTTATGATATTATTATGGATCATGGGTAGAGCAGCAAAGTTTAGGATATAGTTTTTTTTACCTAAACCTGCTTTATTTTCAGGGGGATCTCTCTTCATTTTTGTTTTATAAGGAATCTCTGGGGCCTTCACAAATCTCAGTGTCGGATTTAAGAATGAACAGAGACTACTTACTAATTAAAATGAGATTTAAAAGCAGCTGGTTTCACAGGAGTTTATTTTAAATAATCTATGTAAAGTGAGAGTAATATGCTTTGGATTTATAAAAACTGGCCTTATTTTACTTTACAATAATGCAACACTTTGAGTTAGTTAGAATATAAACTCAGAAGTATATCTTAACATAAATAACAATAAAAATCTCTGTTAAATATCCATATTTATGCCAGCCACTGCCTATGCTGGACTTTGTGGAAGTTCCTATGTCTTTTCTATGAACAAGTGACCTTGTCTGTGGTCTGTGTATGCATTTATGAAAGCAACGTTATTTAAAAAAAGATATACAGGTTTTGGAGCAGCCTTCACTGCTAGAAATCTAAAAAATGCCTTGCTTTTACAATGTATTTGTTGTCTATATATGCAATATAGTATAGAGGACTTTTACTAAAATACTTTTTACATATATCACAACAGGTTTTTTTTCGGGGACTCGAAGTAATGAATTATCCCAACAGAATTTAAAAGTTGGTAAAGTTTAGAAGTTCGATAAAAAAAGATTATCATGTAAATCAAAGTGCATCTTCAGTTAAAAAAGACTGAAAAAATCTGCACCAGTACTGAATGTAACATTCAATACTGCAATATTTGTTTTCCTAAATTAAGCTGTTTCTTATTCTCTTAAATTACCAAAAGGGAGATTTAGAGTTTTTTTTTTTTTTGAGAAATTTCTTTTTTTTCTCTGTGATATTTATTTTTTAAATAATTTTTTTAATGTAGGTTTTTGAACACCTTAGAAACTTCATAAAAATAAACAGTTTCAGGACACTGTTAAATATTTAGTTTTCCTGTCATGTGTAAATTTATTTTACAAAATATTCTTACATTTAGGGTGAAAAAGTCTAAACTTATTTTTGACAGCTATGAAAGTTTTGTTTTTTATAAAAAGAAACTTGAGTAAATATTTTCTGAATTACCTGGATGGGCTTTACTCATGTAGTTGACTAGTGCCTCCTGCGTGACTGTGATTTGGGCAGAGTTCATGTCAGAGATGACAGAGCACAGCACTTCAGCCAGGGGAATAAACTGCGACTGAGGAACTGAGGACATCTGCACCGGCGAGAGGTCACCTGAAACACACACAGATCATCTTGAGGATTGGGTGAAACAGGTGGGGCCCCGTTTAGGAGATATAAACACACCTGGGTCAGGGAAGGTCTCCTTCCAACTAGTGCTGCCAGAGAAAACAACTCAAGGTACCAAGCTGACATTCCTGTCCTAACCACCCTCTAAATCATGACCATGGTGGTCTATTTGTGTGAATTATATGAACCGTGCCTGACTGCTTTTGAAATTCCAGCAGTTTGGAGACGGACCACAGAAATTCCCCAACTTCCACAGAAGTGACCACAGATCTGCCTGCTGAGCGGATCAGATATCCTGCCCCTCTACCCCCAGAATTACACAGACCTACACCCCCAGGAGCGTCACTTATACAAACATGTTACCAACACTAAGAAATCTCATAAAAAGTGCTTTATTTGGGGAAGATTTTAAACCCATTCTTTGCACCTCACATTAAAATTACTGAAGTTTAATTTCTCAAACACTTCACAAATTGAATCATTTGGCAAAACTGATATTCATCCACTCAGGGATTAGGAAACTTTGCATCAAGAAAATGTTCATGTTTTTTTTCCCAAATGCAAAATAAATAAAAAAAACAGTTAAAGAATGTTTACAGTGAGAACGTCAATTTCTTTGCATATAGGAATAAACATTTTATTTGAATCAGGGGTCCCAAATGGGAACCAAATTAAATAATAAATCATGTCTATTATTCAGTTATGAAATAAACAATTCAATGATTAAACAAAAACATACATTTAAATTATGAAATTGCACAAATGTCTTTTTTAATGGGAATTGTTTTACATTCATTCATTATTTGATTTCCTTTTTAATAAATGCAAAGTAAAATAAATATTTGGCATCTAACATTATAAAAACAGCAATATTTGTTTCACTTCATCCTACTTTTGGAACTAGTCCCTGTGTTCTTGCTCTAAAGTCACCACAATCTAAACCAATAATATTCTGACAATAGAGTAGTAAAAGCACCAAAACAAACCAGATGATGAATGATTAGCGCAAGGACTGAGTTAACTCGAGGGCATAAGCATAACCTTACCCACACGACTGGAAAATTGGTTTCAGTTAATCAGTTACTGTTGTTTGACTCCCACCACAGAAACAGATGGACCTCCTACTTGTTTTTGTTTTTCAAAAGCTTCCTTGTCTGTTTTTAAGTGTTGTGGCTTTTGTGTTTAAACCCGTTTGGATTTAAACTTACGCTTAAACATGCACAGGGTCCCCCCCCCCACCCCCGAGCCTCAATTTTCAGAAACATTCTTGAGCTCACACTTGATGTAAACTAAACATTTACAGCCCTCACACTTGAGCCACTTAAAGACACGTCAGCAAAAATAAACAACTAATGATATGAAGTTTGATTGAACACACATGCACGACACTAGTATTCTGGTACTGACAGATCACAGCTGAGCACACAGTTTTGGTTTCACCATAGTGTTACCAGATTTTCACAATTATCCAAATAAAAACTAATATCAACAAGAAATCACAATATGTTTTGGCATACAGCGAAATCAACAAACCACAAAAAGGTAAAGAGATGTTGCATAATTGTGAAGAAAAATTCATGCACTGTCTCTCACAATTTGTTTTCTGCAAATAATTTAAAAATATGTGATACTTTATTTTTGTTCTGCTGGCTCAGTTTGCCAAACTACCATCTGATATGATTGTAGATACGATTGTATCATCTGGTATGTTTCTACCAACTAAAAACATCCGTCATTTAGCCATGCATTATTATTTGTTACTAAAATATCTTATCTTGAATCAGACTGGATAGATTTTGTTTGAAAAAATACAACAGAATTGTAATTAGGTCTGTACTTTGACTGGGTTGCTCTAGCACATGGTGATAACGCTTCAATCTCAACCCTTCTACAGATCATCTGTCCTTTGTAGAGGCATTCATAACTGTTATAAAAAGAAGCAGCACAGCCCAGGACTGATGTGGAACAACCGATTAACATTGCTTTGATGTGAAGTGGGTGACTGGTTGAAACACATTTGCAGCTAAAATCCAAAGAATTTACTTGATTTTTCAGGTAATTTTCCAATTTAAAAAATTTAACTGGAAGGGCTCATTGCTACTCAGGTCTCCATCGTTACCTCTTCATTTAAAGGTACAGCTGTACCAAATGTATTGAATTTGAAAACAAGAAAAAAAAATGTATTTAATCGAACAGAAATATTTTCAATATTACAGCTGAATAAAACTGTTTTGATAAATCATCCAGCAGGATGTTATGTTTAAGGGGCCAATGCAATCAAATGCTACAAACCAATAGCAAACATCCTATGGATGGACCTTCACTGCCTTTTCATTCCAACACTGTGGTCACAGTGACAGAGATGATGCAAACTGTGGAAATATTCAGCACAATATGAGAAGAAAGAAAACAGTTACATTTTTCCTAAGATGGTGCAGCCCTTTTTTCCTGGTTGCATATTAGTTAATGAACACTGATGTTTAAAGCTGAAGATACTGTTTTAAAAAGAAAAACTTTACTCAAACAGGGGAAACTATTCATACTGAGAATAAACTGCAAGCAGGTGGATCTTATTTACTCTATAAAAATTGCTGTTCCTGAGAAACAGAAGCTTAAAATGGCAGAAACTGCTCAAATGATATGAAATAGAAGAAAAGATAAATGCTTAATTTCTTTGTTGAAAACTAGCAGAAGCAAGCAGAAATCATGTTATGAATTAGCATCAAATGGAAAAGCTAAATGCCTGTCCAGAGAGAGTTAGCCAATGTTGAAAATATAGGCTGAAATTTATTAAATTAGCAGAATCAGAAAAGAAATGAGCAAGAAAACATACATGATATTACATAATAATTTGATGACATTCTAGGAAAATTGTGAAAATGGCAGAAAAAAAACAACCTTTTTGCTCATCAAATTGTGTTAGACTTTCCGTTTAAATGATAAGATAAAAGTGCCACTCTAAGTCTATATAGTAAAATATCAATGCAGTGGGCTTTCTTAAAGCTCAAAAGGCTTACAGATAAGGTTACTACTATGCAAAACTGATCCTAAGGGATTGTAAAAGGAAAAAAAGGAAAGAAAACATCTGCGCTCCCTCAGCTGAGGCAAGGCATTAAGCTGCCTAAACCTCGGCTGAGATATCTTTATAGCAGCTGCAGACAGCAATGAATTAAAGCTGCTGACTTAGCTCCTCATTGTTATTAACTTCGTATAGGAATGTTTGCTAGGCTGTGCACATAAAGCAGCAATGTATTGCCTCTCTCAAACAGTCAGAAGATCTGCTAAAATATGACAACAGCAAGTAATTTGGGGGGAAAAAATAACTGTCCTTTCTTAATTTAAGTTTAATTTAAGTAGGCTGAAATTATCTTATGCAATATCTGTTTGACACCTGAAAACATGACCCGTGCTTTCTGGAGAGAAAGAAAATATTAAAAGCTTCAAGAGCTAAAAAACTTCCCACGGAAGTTTAATAAATACTGTTATTACATAGGGAAAAGATTGTGTAATAGAAAAACAAGCCTGTTGAGGATTATGGTTTACTGCATCTAACATTAGCAGGCGTGACCGCCAGGGAGGTCACTGCTGTAACCGCCTTCTCTCCAGGGGAATGGACCACTGTGTTGCTGTAATCTAAGACTGGGAATCCAACATTACACCCTTTGTCATAGCCAGAATGAATACCCAGCTGAGCACCATGGCAACAAAATCCTGATCCACAAAGGGAGGGGAGGAACAGCGGCTCCAGAGTCAAAACAGGATGGGACTTGTGTTAGAGTGAGGAAGCAAAGTTTATTGGAGCCCCTCAACAAAGCAAAAAAAAAACCTTCCACTTTTCAGTCCCCTTTAATTTAATGCATATAAATATTTCAGTCCCACTCTTACCCTTGATAAGTAAAGAGATCATATCTATGTGTAGACAGCGGTTCTTAAGGAAAACAGTTAAGAAGCATAATTGACCCTTAACATATTAAATTGGAATGACTTGGATCATGTGCTGCACACCTGACAGAATATCTAGATTCACAATTTTGAGCTAGATCCAAATAGAAATCTGTGGCATGTGTTCACAGATGCTATTTGTCCAACTAGGTGAGCTTGAGCTGTTTTTGTAAAGATAGAAAAAAAAAAAAATCAGCCTCTAGATGCAATAGAGAAATGCTGCAAAAAGCAGCTGTAATTGTACTTTGAAGCTATATATGTTGCTTTTACTTAAAATAAACTAAACTTCTTGATGGTTTGTGGTTGAAATTTGGCAAAAACATTAAAAAGATTGATTACTTTTGCTTCATATAACATTACTGTTGAATTAACATAGTTGACCATATATTAAATATCCAGTACACAGACTTGAGCTTAACTTTACTTAGGCATTACTTAGGAAAATCCTCAAGACAAGGACTGCAAAAAGAAAAACATTTTTTTTGTTTAACTAGTAAATAACAATTGCATAAGGTGCTTCACTGAAAGTTTTGTCTGCAGAATTTGATCCAGGTGAGGCTAAAAGTATGTCACTTACGGAACTGTGGTCGAATCATATTAAGTCATATATTTTAAATCTTAAATGCAAAACATATGCTATATATATGCAGCGCAACTTTGGTTATTGCTGTTCTGAGTGAATTCCCTCAGAAAATGGGATGCTATACAGTATGTCAATCCAATTAATGATTCAACAATTAAATTAGTTTCCAATAATTTCAATAAACTATAAATCACAACTAATCTAACTATTTCAGCCCTTCTAAACAGATGACATATAAATAATGTTTAGTCATTCTTTAATTAGGTCTCAGTGGACCTTCAGGCCAGGTGTTCCTGAACCATTAACCCCTTTAAATGTGGTTAATCTTTACCAAAAAAAAAATTTATATCCACAAAGAGAGTCACAGTTAAGAGCTAACCTGCTGTTCAGAAAAAGTCATCTATATTTTGGAGCTTTAATGGGTATGTTACTAAGATGCTTACAGGATGCAGATCTACAG